ACCGTTAACCATTTAACAGGTTTTTACTGTAGCATTTTTACCGTTAAATTCACTGCCATTTTTTTACAGTGCAGTGTTATTTTAGTATTACTGAGATTTTGTTTTTAATAAGATTTTATTTAAAAAAAAATTTTGCTTTCATATTTGTTAACATTTTAGTAATTTTGTTGGGCTTTTGTCATTTTGATTAGTTATTGTTGCTTTCAATTATGTCTATATAGTTTTTTAAATTATTATTATTTTAATTTCAGCTATATTTTAGTACATCAAGTTAAACTAAATGAAAATGAGAAATGTTGCCTTGAAAAATATCTGAAATAAAATAAGGTTTTTTATATTTTATATAAGTTTTTTATTATTTTATTTAAAGTAACAAAAATATTATTATGGCTTTAGTTTTAATTAACTATACTGTAATAACCTGAGGCAAAATAGTACATATTCATTCAAATCTAATTTAGACAAAATAGTATATATTTAATAAAATATATATGTACATTATTAAGACAAAATAGTAGGCCAATGTAATTTTATTGGTTTTGGACATAACATAAAAAACATACTGTTTTGCCTTAATAAATTATATGTTTATTAATGTATATGTACAAAATAATATATGTTTAGTTGTAATTAGGGTTGCAGAAAGGTGGAAAATTTCCAGTAAATTTCTGAAACTTTCCAGAATTTTTTGGAATATTCCAAGGATTTTTGGAAAGTTTCCGGAAACTTACCGGATATTTTCAACCCTAATTGTAATATACATGAATGATTAAGACTTTAGTTTTTGAGTGTCTTGTAGTGTGGGTAAATCAGAAATACATATGTGATGATAATGTAGCGAAGAAAAATAATAGTAATAATAGACTACAAGAGTGTGGAATAAGTTCACTTGCATCAATCCTTCTGTGTAGCGCAGCATCCCTGTGTTTGTATCAGTCTGCTTTCACGATGTTTTGTCAGAACGGCTCTCATTTATTCAATCAATCAACCTGTCTGATGACAGGAAGAGGCAAAACTATCATTAAATAAATGAGCCTTTCAATGCTGCTGGTGAAGCTGTCAGGATTGAATATAGTGTCACCTGCTGAGAGACGTGTGATCGACTGAAGCTTCCCTACAGACACACACTGACACAAACGCTCCTGTGGGACTTAATTCGATTCATTAGGCCAGTTCTTAATGTAAACATGCACAGATGTGTGTAACAGCATACGCTGCTTGTGCTCCGCTTTGGATATAAGAATCATGCAAATGAATATTCATAATTATATATATATATAATTATAGTAGGACTGTGATGAATTATAAAACGCAGAGTTCTGACTCTGGTATAATCGGGTGATCTGAGTTTGAGGCCATTGCAAAATGACACACCTGTAACCATGAGCCATGCTATTATATATTGATATGATATATTTTGTATATTAATGAGCCATGCAAGTACTCCTACTTAACTGTACTATATCATTTTAATATTGGATGTTTATTGATAATATACATACAAAAGAATATTCATAAATATATATATATATATATATATATATATATATATTATACATTTTTTAATAATATACATTTGTATATAACATGTATACATATAGGGTTACTTTTTTGTCTAAATATCTGGCTTGTGTAATTAAGTTATATATAAAATACATATATAATATAAAATTTTAGACAAAATCTAAATAGTAAAATAGTGTAATATATAGTAAAAAGTAGTAAAATATCTAATATATATATATTTATTTATTTATTTATTTTATTTTTTTATAATGTGTGTGTGTGTGTATATAATTTATTCAGTCAAGTATTTTTTAATAATTCAACACTTTTGAGATTTTGGCAGTAACATTGTTTTGGATCTAATAATAATGCTGATGAATAATCGAAATCCACTCATGTGCTTAATTTCAAAAGAGCGGAAATGTAATCAGATCCTCGTTCTGTTGGCGTTTTTCTCTGGAGACTGTTTATAATGTGGGTCTGCTTTCCTGTCGCCGGGTTTAATCACACTTCTGGTCTAAAAACGGCTCGTTTACAACTCGGTTCTCACAAAGGCTGTGGCCGTTTCTCTGCGGCTCTGATGACACAGTGAAGCGGATGTAATGGCTCTCAGACTCAGACGGCAGAAGTGTAGGTGTTCACTGAGTCTCTTGATTTCTGTCCTCCCTTTTTATGACCCAAACTAACGAGTGCCCAGAGACCCTCTTCCTGAACAATGCACACCTTGAGCATCATCGCCATCACGGAGAGAGAAGCAGCACAATGAATCTGACCTCCACCTGCACTAAGACTACGATGAGCCACATCAGCTTATCACCACATGAAGTCCGAGTAGGACTGTGATGAATTATAAAACGCAGAGTTCTGACTCTGGTATAATCGGGTGATCTGAGTTTGAGGCCATTGCAAAATGACACACCTGTAACCATGAGCCATGCTATTATATATTGATATGATATATTTTGTATATTAATGAGCCATGCAAGTACTCCTACTTAACTGTACTATATCATTTTAATATTGGATGTTTATTGATTTTTTTTGGCCATAACATGAAATTGTTTTATCATATCAGCCAGAATTGTAATATTACATAGTTTTAATTTTGTGTGTCAATAATTGTCACAAATGAATTTTTCATTCAACTCCTGTGTTATCATTTTGCTCCACACACACACACACACACACAGCGATAATAAATTAATAAATTAGATAGTAAATTTAAATTGTATAGGCATACTTTTTGGTGTAAATAGTAGGTTGTGTCATTTTAATTTATATATAAATAGGTATAATTTATGTAGACAAAATAGTAGACCTATCTATGCAATATGTATATCAATTAAACATACAATTTGAATGCATTATATGTAATCTTTATTATTATTATTGTATTATTTCTATGTTGTTTATATATTTATAATGACAAAACAGTAGTCCTATATAAATTTTAATATTGGCATTTTATTTGATTTTTTAACCATAATTTTATAGGCATTTTTTTTTACTGTTACTACAGTTTTGTTTAATGCGTAGTGCGTCCTCTCTTAACCATGTTAAATCACTGTAATGTGTGGCGTATTGCTTCTCACGTCTGTCATGTTGTTCTGGTTTGTTCCTGAATTAAACTTTCTCGGTGTGTCATGTGAGTTTCTGCTGCTGGGTGTGACAGCAGGTTTATTATCATGCATCACCAGCAACTACCGTCATATTCTGATGCAATGACAGCTGTACTGACCCGAGTCCTGACGGCCCGCTGCTTTAGCAGAGAGAGACCAAAACAGAGCTTTTTTAGGAAAGTGTCACACCTTCCAATTTAGCATGTGCTCCGCGCTGAGAGTGCGGCGGTTTGATGTCAAGACGTGCCAGGAGTTTGTCCTTGGTGCGGAAGATGACAGCGCAGTTGTTAGCTATTGTTTTTAATGGTTTTAGCACTACTCAAGCAGAAAAACCTGCCGTCCTCTACAGCTACAACAGAGGAAGGGAAATAAAACAGACCTGCCATGACTTTATTAGCCTTGATCTCAACAAGTCCGTAAACTGCTGACAGCAAACAACTCTTCGTGTGTTTGTGCAATGTTGGTGTGTGTTTAAACATGCTGCTGTTCATTTTCTCACTCATCATTAGGTGTGACAGTGATGGTTTAATGAGAGCATGTAGTATTCACACTCATTAGGATGTGCATCCGCTTAGATTAAGATCAGCTCCCAGAAGGCCTATAAACAGACCTTTACTCAATTAAAGTGTGACAGGAGGAAATGATGCCCATCATGGTGGCATTTTTCCACAGGTTTTGTTGCTAGAAAGATGCTAGTAAGTGAAATTCAAAGGTTTCTGTTAATGCTCATTAAAGATGCAACAACTAATGGATAAACTGATCGTTAAAATAAATGCCACCGAATTTGATAATCGATTAGTTTAGAGTCTTTTGCAGTGTGCGCTGGGAAAATCTGTCAGAGAATGTAAAGTAAACAGTGAACTTATTGAAAAGATTTACTGCTAATGCATTTTCATTTTGCAAACAACACATACAAAAAGTAAGCGTGTGATAAAATGTATGTCACAAATAATTATGTTTTTCTGTTTTGGTTGTTGCTGAGATTTAAATTTAGGTTTTAAAGTAGCTATACATGCAACTTAAAATCCTATATTCAACATATGTAATAAAAGTTTAAATGAACAGTAACTGTAATTGGATATAGTGGCATCATATGTATGCATCTAATAAAAGACTCTTCCGCTCACCAAGGCTGCATTTATTTGATTAAAAACAGTGAAATATTATTACAATTTAAAATAACTACTTTCTGTGTGAATATATTGCAAAATGCATTTCATTCCTGTGAATTTTCAGCATCATTACTCCAGTCTGCAGTCTCACATGATCTTCAGAAATCATTCTAATATGTTGAAGATTCTAATCAATGTTGAAGTCAGTTGTGCTGCTTCAGATTTTTGTGGAAACTGATATCTTTTATTTTTCAGGATTCTTTGATGAAAAAAAAAAAAAGTTCAAAAGAACAGCATTTATTTTGAAATATAAATCTTTTGAAAAAAAAAAGTTCAAAAGAACAGCATTTATTTGAAATATAAATCTTTTGTAAATGTTATAAATGTCTTTACTGTCACTTTTGGTCAATTTAATGTGTCCTTGATCGATAAAAATATTAATTTATTTTTAAATGAACACTCATATATACTGCTCAGTGCTCATAGAAGTAAAGACCTATTTTTGGACTTTCATATTGAAGCCGAACAGAGCTGTGTAACATGGCAGTAGCATCTCTAGAGATTTAATAAAAGTTCAAAGTCGGAAGGTCCACACTGTCTGCTGACATCTCACCTTCAAAGCGTGATGGATCTGCGGTGCTTTCCAGGAAAGCAGAACCGCTTGTGCTCAGTGACCCAAAGTTAAACGCTAATGAGACATCAGCAGGGAGCGGTTCAAATCCATGACTTGCAAGACTGATCTTTCTTTTCTCTTTTATTGCAGAATAAGGTTCTGAACATTGATGGTGTGAGAGTTAAACTACAGGTGAGCATCATTTTCTGCATGCAACTTTTTAATGATAGCTTAAAGGAATAGTTCACCTAAAAATGAACATTTGCCAAAAATGTCCTCACCTTCAGGCCATCCAAGATGTAGATGAGTTTGTTTCTTCATCAGGTTTGTAGAAATGTAGCATTGCATCAGTGTCTCAGCAATGGATGCTCTGCAGTGAATGGGTGCCGTCAGAATGAGAGTCCAAACAGCTGATAAAAACATCACAATAATCCACAAGTAATCCACTCCAGTCCGTCAGCTAACGTCTTGAGAAACCAAAAGCTGCATGTTTGTAAGAAGCAAATCCATCATTAAGATGTTTTTAACTAAAATACAATTCCATAATCACGCTTCCTTTGGTGGAAAAGTGGTCTGGTCTGAATCAGGAGATCCAAACAAATTGGTCAACTTTACCACTGTCAAACCAGCATAGACCAGAACAGATCTTCTGGCATGTATAAGCTGGCCTTTTCTATAAGCTTTAAATGTAATATCTCATACAAACATGTACCATTCTAACTTTTTGTAAAGTACTGTGAATAATAATACGAATGAAATCAGTTACTAAAGCTCATACTTTTAATGTAACAAGCTTTTAAATTTGATACCATCTGTGGGCATTTGTATCATCTCAATAAACTCTTGAGTAATTAGATGATTTAATTACCTCCTTTCAAAGCAACTCCAATTATCTGTGCTGTTTTAAATACTAAGGTGATACATTTGGATGTTCCCATGTTGCTTCGCTCCCTCTGGCTAATATCGACTAAGTAAACAATGAACGCGCATCTCGAGGATCAGCTCTAATGAGAGTTTAAAGAGGATGACATTAATCTTTAACGCTCCATTAGCCGCATGCCTCGCACTAGTGAATGGAAACACAGACTCTACTGCGTGTTTGATTTAACCAGACATACAGCTTCATAACCCGCTCACCTGCACGCATAATCAGAGAATAGCATTACAGATGGTTTTTAAGGTCGTCAGTGTAATTATTGTGGACTGTTGAACAGGGTGAGTGGTTGATAGGTGAATTAATGTTGATAGGGATTATTAAAAACGCTGTGTCAGGTCAAATGTGCAAACATCTCAAAGCAAAACTAATCTTCCCACATGCTTACGTTGTGAATCCGTGTTTTCACACATCAAGACTGGACCTCATTACTGAGGCTGTGCATGAATCTCGTTTTTAAAGTGATAGTTCACCCCAAAATACTTAAAAAAAAAAAAATTGTATTTATGTAAAAATACGGTTAGAAAAGAGATTGTTTGAATCAGATGTAAAACAGTTTGTTCTTTTTCTTTGGTGACTCTGTTTGTTTTAGAAATTGCTCTTATTGTGTGCAACGTGCTTGAGTTTGAGACACAAAAGCATGTTTTTCTTTCTGAAAGTGTTTAAAACATAAACTGGAAAATATGTAATATGTAATGTGTCTTGACAAGTTTGAATTTCTGAGACGCAGAAGCGTAGACAGAGTCGGCATCTGATTTAAAAATGAAATCACTCATTTTTATTCATAAGTTCACACTTCATATTGGCTTCAGAGAGTCACCATTGTGTTGTTATTTTTATTTATTTAAAATGTAAAAAATTAACATTTAAATTTATGCATTTGGCAGACAGTTTTATCTGAAGCGATTTACATTGCATTCAAGGCATTAATTTCTATCAGTTTACATACCCTGGGGATCAAACCCATGACCTTTGGGTTGCTAGTGTTGTACTATTAAACATATAGATTCCAAAAGAGGGTTTTCATAGTGATGCCATTAAAGAGCTATTTTTAGTGAACTATTATTAATGAACTATTATGTGCTCACCCTCGGGCCATCCAAGATGTAGATGAGTTTATTTCTTCATCAGATTTGGAGAAATGTATTCCATCAGTTGCTCAGCAATGGATCCTTTGCAGTGAATGGGTGCCGTCAGAATGAGAGTCCAAACAGCTGATAAAAACATCACAATAATCCAAAGTACTCCACACCACTCCAGTCCATCAATTAATGCTTTAGAAGCCAAAAGCTGTGTGTTTTTCTGAGATGCCCATCTTTATGAAGGTGGACAGGAGGATATGGTGGTTAACTGTGTCAGAAGCAGCAGACAGATCCAGCAAGACGAGTCCTGAGGATTTGGAAGCTGCTTTTGCCAGTTTCAGGGCTTCAGTAACCGAGAACAGGGCAGTCTCAGTTGAGTGGGCGCTTTTGAAGCCAGATTGGTTGTTGTCCAGGAGGCTGTTCTGTGCAAGGAACATAGAGAGTTGCTCAAGTGTCTTTGCAATGAACGGAAAAAGGCATACCGGTCTGTAGTTTTCTAAAAGTGCTGGATTGAGAGAGGGTTTCTTAAGCAGTGGGGTTACCCGAGCCTGCTTAAATGCTGTGGGAAATGTACCAGTGTGAAGAGAGGTGTTGATAATGTGAGTAAGCACAGGTATGACTGAAGAAGAAATGGCCTGAAGTATGTGAGTGGGGATAGGATCAAGTGGACAGGTAGTAGGATTATTGGAAAGGATAAGTTTGGAAACATCCGTCTCCGAGAGTGGAGAGAAGGAGGAGAGAGAGTGTGTATTGGTCATTATGAAGTTATCATCGGTTTGTGGTGTGGAGAATTGGTCATTGATGTTTCTTGTTTTATTTATGAAGAATATTGCAAAGTCATCAGCTGTAAGAGTTGATGAAGGAGGAGGGGAGGAGGACAGAGAAGAAAAGAGAAGTTTTGTAAAGCGTGCGAGAGTCTGAACAATTGTTAATTTTGTTGTGGTAGTATGTTGTTTTAGCAGTGGAGACATTTGCAGAGAAGGAAGAAAGAAGTGACTGATACACGCTAAGGTCGGTCAAGTTTTTTGATTTGCGCCATTTCCTCTCTGCAGCCCTGAGTCTAGAGCAATGTTCACGGTGAACATTGGGACAGCCAGGGGCAGTGCGGGTAGCACATGCTGGTCTGGATGAAAGGGGGCAAAAGTTGTCCAAGCAAGATGTTAGAGTGGAGCAAAGAGTGTCAGAAGCACTGTTTGTGTCCAGTGCTGAAAACTGAGAGGGTGAAGGAAGTGAGGATGAAACCATAGAGGATAGGCGAGAGGGAAAGAGTGAGCGTAGGTTACGCCAAAAGGTGACCTGTGGAGGAGTATGTGCTATGTCAGGAGTTAGTGTGAGGTTAGAAGTGATGAGGAAGTGGTCTGAAGTGTGTAATGGAGTAACTAAAGTGTTGTCAGTGCAATAGCGCGTGTAGATGAGCTCCAGTTGGTTACCTGATTTGTGAGTAGCCGTAGTAGACACTCGCTTGAGATCAAAGGAGGCGAGCAGAGTGTTGAAGTTAACAGCCTGGGGTTTTTCTAGATGGATGTTGAAGTCACCGAGCAGTACCAGAGGAGTACCATCCTCAGGAAAGTTTGATAGTATCACATCCAACTCCTCCAAGAAGCTACCCAGTTGACCTGGGGGACGATAAACAACTACAAAGTGGATTTTAACAGGGTGGGTAATAGTAATTTCATGTGATTCAAATGAACTGTTGCCTGTAAGAGATGGTAGAAGATCAAATTTTCATTCATTTGAGATGAGTAGACCAGTACCTCCACCCCTCCCAATCACGCGAGGGGTGTGGGGAAAAAGTGAAATTAGTGGAGAGGGCTGCAGGAGTGGCAGTGTCCTCTAGGTTTGATCCAAGTCTCAGTTAGGGCCATGAGGTTGAGACCGGAATAAGTAGCAATAGAAGAAATAAATTCTGATTTGTTTACAGCAGACTGGCAGCTCTAGAGACCAAATGGAAGAGAGAGTAAAGTAGTAGAGGACATAGGGACAGGCTGTGGATTATTACGATTGGCCTGCCTCCAACGTACAATGCGTGCTTTCCGAGTGTTAGTAGTAATAGTAGAGATTTGAAAGCACATAGTGAGTACAATTGTCTAAAGTATATGAGAACAAGGCTGCACAAAAAGTAAAGAAAGGGGAGAAAAGCAATACTCAAGTGCCTTGTTGGTGTCCTTGCTCGGTGGAGTCGCGCAGGTAGAGTTAATGGACACTCGTCGGTCTTCACACGAGGGCTGCCGCGGTGAACTAACCAATTTTATACTTGCCTGATTACTTGTTATTGAAGTTAGCTGGGCACACCTTACTACTTAGCAAACCGAAACTGGAAAGTCACGTGATATGCACGAGAACAAACGCGACTAGAGCACTTGTCTACCATGGTAAACACAGTAATCAAAACAATGTTTCCTAGCAACGACAACCGCGCTAAAATCTAATGAGAACAGAAAACAAAACACTTACAAACTGCTGTCCTCTTCTGTTGCTTGACTGCTTCTTCTAACAAGTTTATTGAAGATTGTGAGGGATTTGACTGTCCGGATGGAGTTTGGTAGGTAATTCCACCAACAGGATACAGTGAAAGAAAACATCAGGGAGAAAAGCAATACTCAAGTGCCTTGTTGGTGTCCTTGCTCGGTGGAGTCGCGCAGGTAGAGTTAATGGACACTCGTCGGTCTTCACACGAGGGCTGCCGCGGTGAACTAACCAATTTTATACTTGCCTGATTACTTGTTATTGAAGTTAGCTGGGCACACCTTACTACTTAGCAAACCGAAACTGGAAAGTCACGTGATATGCACGAGAACAAACGCGACTAGAGCACTTGTCTACCACGGTAAACACAGTGATCAAAACAATGTTTCCTAGCAACGACAACCACGCTAAAATCTAATGAGAACAGAAAACAAAACACTTACAAACTGCTGTCCTCTTCTGCTGCTTGACTTGATTGTGAGGGATTTGGCTGTCCGGATGGAGTTTGGTAGGTAATTCCACCAACAGGATACAGTGAAAGAAAACATCCTTGAGAGTGATTTTGTGCCTCTCTACAATAGGACCACGGAGCCGCTGCTCATTTACCAACTGCAGGCTTCTGGAGGGGATGTCGATGCAAAGGAGAGAGTGTTGGTAGGGGGTGCGCAGCCTATGGCAGTTCTGTAGGCAAGCACCAATGACTTGAACTTTATGGGAGCCGCGACTGGAAGCCAGTGCAGAGATATGAGAAGCAGTGTGACATGGTCCCTCTTGGGCACATTAAAAACAAGATGTGCTGCTGCATTCTGAATCATTTGCAGAGGTCTGATTGCACATGTTGGAAGTCCAGCCAGAAAAGCATTGCTATAGTCCAGCCTAGAATGACAAGGGCCTGGACAAGAAGCTGTTTTTGCAACATGCTCTTTAAAGGTCAGCCGATCATCAAGGATCATCCCAGGATTCCTGGCTGAACTCAATGGGATTATTGTTGATAAGCCCAGTTGGATGGTAAACTGGTGCTGTAATGATGGGGTGGCTGGGAAGATGAGAAGCTCTGTTTTTGCCAGGTTGAGCTGCAGGTGCTGTTCTTTCATCCTTGCCGAGATGTCCGTCAGGCAGTCCGAGACCCGAACAGTTAGCCGTTGGATCATCTGATTGAAATAAAAGGTAGAGCTGTGTGTTATCAGCATAGCAGAGGTAGGAGAAACCATGTTCCTAGCTCTAAACAAATATGTGTGTGGATTTTGATGTGAGAGACAACAGGAGATGGACTTTTTCACTGGAGGAAGAATTATGGACTCGTATTTTAACCGGAAACAATGGTTTGAAGTTAAAAACATCTTAATGATGGATTTGTTTATTACAAACACACAGCTTTTGGCTTCTCAAAAAGTTAATTGATGGACTGGAGTGGTGTGGATTACTTTTGGATTAATCTGTAAAGCTGTTTGGACTCTCATTCTGACATTTCTAAATTTCTCCAAATCTGACGAAGAAGCAAACTCACCTACATCTGGGGTGGCCTGAGAGTGAGCGCATCTTCAGCAATTGTTAATTTTCAGATAATCCATTCCTTAAATTTAAATTAATATACTGTATGTGCATATTATAAATCACAGCGTAATGAATCTGTTTGTCACACAAAACTATTGCATGCCTTCAAATGACTTGAAGCCACTTATGATGCTTTTTTTAATGCTTATTTGTATGTATGCGTGTGTGCGCGCATTATCTCTCAGACTTTGTTAATGGCAGGCTGTTCTGCTCATCAGCATTCATGTCTTCTCGCTCAGTTTCATCAGTGTGAAACATGACCCTGGCCGACAGGTCTCTGCGTGTGTGTGACAGGTGCTCTTATCAGGACGTGGATGGTGTAATAGGTCTCGACCTCAGCCATAAATCCACATTCTTGTCCTCCACCTCACGCCATTACCACATCGGCTAATTAAAGCTTGTGCTCCTCTGCTTCACTTCAAGTGCTTTTATAGTGAAGAGTGAAACCTGATTTTATAGTGTGTGTGTGTGTGTGTGTGTGTGTGTGTGTTGAATGTATGAATGAAGCAGGTAATGTTTGTGTCTCCTCTTGCTCTGTAGATCTGGGATACGGCAGGACAGGAGCGATTCAGGAGCGTGACGCATGCCTACTACCGAGACGCTCACGGTGAGTTGCATTGTACTGCAAAAATCTTTTTCTTTATCAAAAAAAGTTACATACATAGAGCAAAAAAGTGAGGTTGAAGAAAAAATGAGAATAAAAAAAAGAAAATAAATTAAATAAAATTAATTGCCTTGCAAATGGAGCAAGAAAAATCAAGTTAATTGTAATGTCTTCATTATATTTTTAATGGAAAATGAGACAAAAAAAATAGATTAAGAAAGTAGGATTTTTTTTGTGGTGTTAAAGTTACAATCAGATTCTGAGTAGTAATTGCAATGCTATAATTGGTCTCTGATATTGGAAATGGTTTTTTGCTAAGACGTATTTGATGCTTTTATTAATAGAATTCTAAAAATGGCACATCCAAGCCGTTTTGTCACTCTATTTCTCCTGCACTTTATCGTTCTCTTCCAGACTTAAATGCACATTGTATATCAAATTTGTTAATATTTTTCTTTAGACATTAAGTGGCGACCCAACACAGCAGATTATTGTACAATTAAAATCATGTTACCATGAACTGCACAGGCCTAACAAAAACGGACATGTTTATAACTGAATAGGAATGAATATGAAAATATACATTCTGTAAATGCACAAACAGCAGCAGAAAGTGATTTAGTCAAACCAATTTTTGATGTAGTCAGAGTAATTTTTTTTATTTTGTGTATTTGCGTTTGTTTTTACACGCTAATGTTTGAATATTAAACTCAGCTTAAACTCACTTCATTTTGGATTTATTTATTTTTCAGAAAACAAGACTTAGGTTAAGTAATTTTGCGTCTCAATTAAATGCATCTTGGTTTAAGAATGTTTAGATATTTTTACTGGGAAAAAATAAACAAGACAAAAATACTTCGTAAGCAAATCATTTTTGCAGTGAACCCATTGTTGATGTAATCGGAATCATATTTTCTTTTATCTCATGTAGTTTTGTTTTGAACTGAATAGCAATAAGAAAATATTAATTTTGCAAATGCATAAACCTCAGCAGGAGTGCAATTTACCCTTGAATCCTTTTTGATGTAGTGTGCGTCATATTTTCTTTTATGTTGTGTACTTTTGTTTGTTTGTGAGAAGTCACGCATCGGTCTTATTTGGAAGCTTCTGCAAAGATGTCAGATGAATTTGTGCTAAAATGCTTTCTGATTTCACCATTTGATGTTAACAAAAAAAGAAATGGGAAACGTTTTTCTAATACCTATTTATTTTGCCATCCTAATTGCGCATGATTATATGGTTAGCAGCATTTCATCAATTGCATTCAGCATTGTTTGTCTGCTTTCAGAGCAGACCTCGCAACCCACCAGTTGAGATTCACTCATATGTGACTACCAAATTTCTCACATTTCCCATGTCAAGCATGATCTCCTGCCAAAACAACAACAGCGTAATCCAGAGGAAGAAACAATGCTTTTATTTTAAGGTTTTTCTCACTCATAGAAAACCATTATAGAGAAATGTTACGAACATTGCATTAATATCCTGGCTTCATTAACTTGCATGTAGATGGATAGTGGGGCTGTGCATGAAGTGCAAAGGTTTTTTTTTCTTCTCCTTATAATGGTTTTCTATGGCAGAGCAAATGGCTATAAAAGTTATTGCTGTGTCTTGTTTCGGCAGTAGATAATATTTATGACATGAAAAATGAGAGAGAAATTCAGTTCTTGGTCATTGTTTTAGAACATTAAACCACATGAAGTGTTTCTTTTCTTGCAATTTTACTCTAAGACTTTTAAGAGTTTGACTTTTACTCTCTTAAGTTTGAATTCTGTAATGATACGACTTTCTTCTTGAAATTGTTCTGGCACACAGCACTAAAGAGCCATCATAGTACTAAACTCGTAATAGTAATTTCATTTCAGATCATTTAAGATGCTGTGAAGATCACTTTATACTGAACCTTTTGTGTAGCCAACAGAAAACATGATGCAAAATGGTGTTTATGTGCAAATTTTGTAGTAAAGCACACCGAAGACATGTTTGGCGCAGTGTTATTAACTGAAACTAAAAATGAATGTTGTCTGAAAAAAATGAAATAGGCCTATATATTTTTATTTAATACAAAGTAATGTTTTAAATATAACGTTTTGAATACTGAAAGATGATTGAAATTATATTATGAAACTAAATCCTGAGTCATTGATTGATTCATTCAACTGATTTGTTCAAAACAGTGTTATTTTAGTTACTATTCTTGTTTTTATTAAGATTAAGTTTAATTTTAATATTTTATTTTTGTTATCCATTTAAATTTTATTTAAAGTTGTAGCAATTATTCGTCTTTTTTATGTATATATATTTTTTATGATTTTTGTTGTTGTTGTTTTAGTTTAATTTAGCCTGAATATCTCTCAAAATTGTACCAAACATACACCTTAAGAGAGATGCACCACTGAATTTAAATGTAAGCTGGCTTTTGTGCTCCGTTTCAGCCTACCTGGAACAGAAAGAGCCACTTAGATCTGCAGTGAAATGCAATTGGTTTGAAGTACCGACCATCTAAAGCAAAACCAAATGACAGATTGTTATAACAAAATCCGCGTTCTTGTATGCAGAGTAGCTGTTTTGTGTTCTGTTTGTGTTTGTAGCTTTTGAGTTTCAAGACTGTTTTAGTGCATTGTTAATCTTTCAGTTTTTAACGCATTACTAAAGCTTTCTGAGAGCCGTCCACACCAGCCCACGCTCTTACACTTCAAACAAGACCGATTGGATCATAAAGAGCAGCTATTATGACTCTTTTAAATGAGGTTCTGAAGCATGTACACACACACTTGACACCCTTTCACCGCACATTTCCAGCAGGGAGTGATTGACGTTTAAATTGATGCAGAGCGATGCCATAATGCACGCTTTTTGCGGCCGACCGTTTTCCCCTCGTGAACCTGTCACATGCAAACGGTCCTAACCTCACATGCCGTGCGCATACAGATCCTCAAATCACATCCCAGAGAGTCACCTTAGACATCAGGGCTGGTGGAGCTGCTGCTGTCCTGCATGTGTGGAGCTTTATTAGGGTGCATGTGAGTCTGAGCAGATCTACTGTACTCCTGACGCCCACAGACTGCCTCTCCCATCTGTGCCGTGCCTGTGTGCCATCAGCTCACCGAGAGACATGGCACTGCACCACAGATCACATCAAATATGAGAAATGGGAGATGGGTGCGTTTGAATGTTGCTCAGATGATTCATATTTCATCCCGGTGCTCTTCTGTGAGTTTTTAGCATCAGAAATGTAGCTTAGTATCACAATGTCTTCAGAAATGCAATTGTGGCGTTATAAAGGTTGTTTGAGCATGTACTATCGTATTCTTTGAAAGTACCATAGCATATGAATATATATGCGCGATTAATTGCATCCAAAATAAAAGTTTTTGTTTGTATAATATGTGTGTGTACTGTGTATATTTATTATGTATATATAAAAGACACACAAACAGTATATATTTAGAAAATATTTACATGTATATATTTATATTCATATAATTTATATTATATATGTGACCCTGAACCACAAAACCAGTCTTGAGTGTCAAATTTTTCCAAATTGAGATTGATAAATCATCTGAAAGCTGAATAAATAATCTTTCCATTGATGTATGGTTTGTTAGGATAGGACAATATTTGGCTGAGATGCAACTATTTGAAATTCTGGAATCTGAGGGTGCAAAAAAAAAAAAATCAATATTGAGAAAATCATCTTTAAAGTTGTTCAAATTAAGTTCTTAGCAATGCATATTACTAATCAAAAATTAAGTTATATATTTATGGTATGAAATTTACAAAATATCTTCATGGAACACAATCTTTACTTAATATCCTAATGATTTTTGTCTTAAAAGAAAAATCAATAATTTTGACTCATACAATGTATTGTTGGCTATTGCTACAAATATACCCCAGCGACTTAATATTTTTCTTAAATGTGTATTTACATATACATAATAAATACACAGTACACACACACATATATTATGTACACAAAAACTTTTATTTATGTTTGAATATTAAACTCAGCTTAAACTCACTTCATTTTGGATTTATTTATTTTTCAGAAAACAAGACTTAGGTTAAGTAATTTTGCGTCTCAATTAAATGCATCTTGGTTTAAGAATGTTTAGATATTTTTACTGGGAAAAAATAAACAAGACAAAAATACTTCGTAAGCAAATCATTTTTGCAGTGAACCCATTGTTGATGTAATCGGAATCATATTTTCTTTTATCTCATGTAGTTTTGTTTTGAACTGAATAGCAATAAGAAAATATTAATTTTGCAAATGCATAAACCTCAGCAGGAGTGCAATTTACCCTTGAATCCTTTTTGATGTAGTGTGCGTCATATTTTCTTTTATGTTGTGTACTTTTGTTTGTTTGTGAGAAGTCACGCATCGGTCTTATTTGGAAGCTTCTGCAAAGATGTCAGATGAATTTGTGCTAAAATGCTTTCTGATTTCACCATTTGATGTTAACAACAAAAGAAATGGGAAAGGTTTTTCTAATACCTATTTATTTTGCCATCCTAATTGCGCATGATTAGATGGTTAGCAGCATTTCATCAATTGCATTCAGCATTGTTTGTCTGCTTTCAGAGCAGACCTCGCAACCCACCAGTTGAGATTCACTCATATGTGACTACCAAATTTCTCTCACATTTCCCATGTCAAGCATGATCTCCTGCCAAAACAACAACAGCGTAATCCAGAGGAAGAAACAATGCTTTTATTTTAAGGTTTTTCTCACTCATAGAAAACCATTATAGAGAAATGTTACGAACATTGCATTAATATCCTGGCTTCATTAACTTGCATGTAGATGGATAGTGGGGCTGTGCATGAAGTGCAAAGGTTTTTTTTTCTTTCTTCTCCTTATAATGGTTTTCTATGGCAGAGCAAATGGCTATAAAAGTTGTTATTGCTGTGTCTTGTTGTTTCGGCAGTAGATAATATTTATGACATGAAAAATGAGAGAGAAATTCAGTTCTTGGTCATTGTTTTAGAACAT